GGCCTTACTTTATACCAGTGTCTTCAGGGAAGTTTGAACCTCTTGTTACCCTCAGTATATAATCAAGAGATTATATACTATTTCCTAAAATGATTCCATGTTATCTGATTCTTTTTGACACAGTGACTGTGTTTTCCGTCCATTTTCTTTCCATGTGTCCTGCATCATTCAATATTTTGCTGGTGGAATTCTTCAGTATTTCAATTCAAAGCTTGAATTTGTTCTTCAGTCCTTTCTGCTTGAGAAATTCCAAGCATTGCCTTCTCTTTTGATTTTCTGACTCCAGCTCTTTGCACATTTTGTTATAATACTTTTTTTAACTTTTTTGTTATGCTTTTTTACCCTTTAAAATTTTCTGCTCATTTATCTTACTTCAGCATTTCTTCCATGTTTTGGCCCCTCTGTGTTCTGGTGCAAGTTTTAGAGTCTCTTCTGGCCCCCATTTTGGGCTTTTCTTCCTTTCCTGTCTTTGTAATGACCTTTTGTTGGTGGGGTTTTTTTGTGTGTGTGTGTTTTTTACTTTATTATTAATTTCAGTAAAAATTTACAGAGGCTTTGGATTTCCATTCATTCATTGTTGCACATTTCTCCCCTCCCAAGACTCCCCCCCAGAACACTACCCTCTTGGAAAAGTAAAAGAAAAATTCTTTCATTGTTTTACAACCCCTCCCCCCAAGTCCACTCCACTATGCAGCCTTCATTCTGGACTCCTGTCACATATTCCGAATCACATATCCATTTTAAACCGTTTTCTCCCTCATCTGTTTCAATGAAGTATACATTATTTATCCCATCTTTCTGTCTCGCTCCAATCCCGATGTCAGTTCTGTTTTACAACAGTAATACTATGCAGTATTTGTCCTTTTGTGACTGAGGTATTTCATTCAGCATAATGTCCTCCAGGGTCACCCATTTTGAATAATATTGCATGAGTTCCTTGTTTTTCAATGCAGCATATTATTGCATTGTGTGAATATATCACAGCTTCTCTACCCATTCGTTTCTTGCTGGGCACTTAGGTTGTTTCCAGCTCCTTGCTATTGTGAACAAAGCTGGGATAAACATGGGTGTGCATATATCTGCTTGGATGTCAGTTATGGTTTCTTTGGGGTATATTCCCAGTAGTGGAATTGCTGGATCAAATGGTATCTCTATTTGCAACTTTTTGAGAAAGTGCCATACCACCTTCCAAAGTGGTTGTACCATTTTACACTCCCACCAACAGTGAATAAGAGTTCCGGTTTCTCCACAACCTCGCCAGCATTTATTGCTTTCTGTTCTGTTAAATTTTGCTGTTCTGTCTGGGGTGAGATGATATCTCCTAGTTGTTTTGATTTGCATCTCTCTTAGAGCCAGGGATTTTGAACATTTCTTCATGTGCTTGTTGGCCATCTGAATGTCTTCTTTGGTGTGAAGTGTCTGTTCATATCCTGTGCCCATTTTTCTATTGGATTATTTACCTTTATCTTGTTGTGATACAAAGTGACACCTTTGCTGGCCAGTCATATATCATTGAAGGGGAGGTGTTGGAAGCAGAATGCACAGAAACAGGCCTCAGAAGGGCGGTGAAACTGGTCCTGGGCTCTGAGCTTCACTGTTGCTGACATTGCGTTGACTTTAACTCATGGTCCAATGGAACAAATGACTCAGTTCCCACTTCATGGTCATTGGAGTCGTGGGGTGTCTTGGTAGACCCACCATGTACTTCTAGTGTCTTCCCCCCTCGGGGCTCCCCTTCCATTGGCTCCATGGAGACCATCGGTCTTTTCTTTCTGCCTGGAAGCTCCACCGAAACCTGTCCTGTGTGGGAGATCTTGCTGAGCATCCCAACATCACAGCAACGTGAAAGAAAAGCCAGACAGGGAGCAGTAACGTCCTTATCTTCAGAGTTAATCCACCCCAGGCAGATGGGAATCACAAGACGCTTCATCTCATGGGGGTGGGGGGCATTTTATCAAGAGGACCCTCTCTGGAGGAAGACATCGTGCTTGGCCAAGTAGAGGGTCATTGACACAGAAGACCCTCAGTGAGATGGACACAGTGTTTACCACATTGAGCTCAAGCACACCAGCCAATGTGAGGGTGTCGAAGGGCCAGTGTGCTCCCTCCTGTCATGAACAGGGTCCCCGTGGGGCCTAACAGACTCAGCAGCACCAGGGAGCAGCGCCACAGGAACGGGTCAGCCTGGCTTTAAGTCAACAAAGGTGGATTAGTAGCTGAAGGCCCCGAAAGGCACATCCGGTGCATCTGAATTAGACAGGATCCAGGGTGTATGAGCTGTACAGAAATTAACTAACCACTGTTGGCAGCCACTTCATTCCAGAAGATTCTGGAGGACGCCCATGAGTACTTGGAAAAGGCGAAAAGGGAGATAGATGGAGTGTGAACACAGTAGAGGATGGACAGGCGAGGAGAGTGGGGGCCGGGTCCACCTCCTCCCTGCGCCTCACTCTTCCCACATGACGTGTCGCGCTGCAGCTCTTCCCCTGCTCTCCCCACCTGTCATCCAGCTGATTCCAGCTCACAGCCACCCCCACGTGTGTCAAAGCAGAACTTCGCTTCATAGACGTTTCAGTGGCTTAATTTTTTTAATGACTTGGCCAGGCCTTTCTCCCAAGGGGTCTCATGGGTAGGCTCTGATCTCAGCAGCTGTGTATGAAATGTTTGTTTCATGCAGAGACTCCTTCCAACTGTTGTTGTTGTTGTTGGGTGCCTTCAAATTGGAACTGAGTCCTAGCTCATCTTATAGTGAGTCTTCAGAGGCAGTATAATCACACAGGAGGAGACTGCCCATCCTTCTCCCATGGAGCAGCTGGTGGATTCGATCTGTGTGCCTTTGGGATTGCAGTGCAGCTTCTTACCACTCAGCCATCAGAACTTCCTTCCCACTGTCCTATCATCATTCTCTGTTAATTCTGTGGAAGCTGGTGGCGTAGTCAGTAGGAACTTGGCTCCTGGTCCAAAGGTTGCATGCGCCTCACTGGTGGTTAGAATCTGTGGACTCCGAGGCAGCAGGCTGGGGGGTCTCCTTCTCTGCTGAGAAGAAGCCCACGGGAGGGTCAGCCAGGAGTCCATTCCAACCAACTTGACGGCGATCAGCTTTGAGCTTCTTGTTTTCATAACAGCTAGTGGGATATGGTTGTCCATTCTGGACAGTGTTTGGTGGAGCTCCTTGGTTAAAACAAGTTTGGAAGCAGGAGTGGCATCCACTTCTGAAATGGCTTGCCTCTGGAAACCCTATGAGCAGTGCTCAGGCCTTTCATTCATAGGGTCGCTATGAGTCCTCTACAACTCAATGGCACCTAACAACAATAGCAATGACAACACAGAGAGAGCTACATTGACCTAGTGGACAGAAAGTTATGCTACCAAGACCAAGGTGGGTGATTTTAATCTGCAGCCCTCAGGCCTGGTTCAAATTGTTTTTTTGTCGAACATTCTTCTAAGTGGTATAGCACTAGTCTGTGCATTGCTGTACAGAGGTAAGTCGGGGTTTCTGTGATGCTAAACACTGTGACACTGATGTGCCAGATGTGATAATGGTCACCCATGGTGGACAGTGTTTGGTGGAGCTCCCCGATTAAAACAAGCTTGGAAGCAGGAGTGGCATCCACTTCCGAAATGGCTTGCCTCCGGAAACTCTGTGTATGAATGAACAGTGCTCAGGTCTTTCGTTCATGGGGTCGCTATGAGTCGTCTACGACTTGACAGGTGAGGAGCATTGTGTCCTGTGTGACCCGCCATGCCTGGGTGCAGACGGGCCCTCGGGGCCATACTGTCTGGACAGGCCGTGTAGGTGCTGTGTAGTTGCTGTCGTGTGGTGAGCCCGGTTTGTGGTGACTCCATGAGTACCTGCAGAGCTACTCCATAGCTGGGCTAGATGCATCTCAGGTGCTGCTGTTCACTACCCGCTGGATTTACCTCCAGAGAACCCTCAGGGTGCAGAGGCTAAGGATTCACCTGTTAACCTAAAGGCCAGAGGTTCAAAGCCACCTGGTGCCCCTTGGGAGAAAGATCAGGCACTCTGCTTCCATAAAAATCTACAATCCTGCAATGCTGTGTTGGCCCTCCAGGGTCATGGTGAGTTAGAATCTACTCGGTGACAGTTTTGTGTTTTGTTTTGTTTTTTAATGAACACTCAGTAAAGTTCTTCATGCCCCCCCCCTTTTGATCCTTACCAGAACTCTATTTGGGAATTATCTGTATTGAGACATCAGAGATGGTGAGGTTGGCACAGCACAGGGTTCAGATCGGCTGTTCATCGGGTCGCTATGAGTCATACTCGACCCGACAGCACCTACTAACATCAACATCCTGGTCGTGTCATCTGTACGGTGAAGCCTTATGTCGCTCCTCTCTGGTGGTTCAAGCTCTGGTGGCCATATGTCAAGAAGCTGTGCTGTAATCCCAAGGGCACGCAGTTCGGGGCCACCAGCTGCTTCACAGGAGAAGGATTGGCACTCTCCTTCCCTGCAATTTACAGCCTCTGAAAACCCACCTATGAAAACTCAGTTATGAGTCAGTTCTGACTCTACATTCAAAACAACAGGAGAAAGATGGGCGGTCTCCCACCTTGCAACATACAACCTCAGAAGCCCAATAGGGGGCAGCTGTGAGTCAGAACTGACTAATGACAGTGAACTTAGACGTGGTTTTGAGATGTGCATCCCCAGAATAGGGAACCTTGGAGACACAGTGGTGGAGGGCTTGGCTGCTAACCAAAAGGTCGGCGGTTTGAACCCATCGGCTGCTCTGCAGGAGAAGGGCGTGATAGTCTAAGAATCCCCATGGGGCCGTCCCACCCTGTCCTGCATGCTTGCTGTGGGTCAGGGAGGACTTGGGTTTGGGGGTGACTCTGGGGAAGGTAGGTGCTGTGTATCCTTGTGGCTGCCCACCCTCCTGCCTGCCCTGGTCCCACTAACTGCTCTTTCTCTTCTCGCCTCCCTCCCTTCCCTCCTCCCTCTGTCCTCTGTCCTCTGCTGGCTCCCTCCGCCCTCCAGTGTGACCAGGACCAGTGCATTCAGAGCACCAAATTCGTTTTGCAGGCCGCGGCCACGCCCCTGCTGCAGAGCGAGCCCAGCCTGACCAGCGACGAGCTGCACGGGCCCGGGAAGGCCGGCCTGGGCACACCGTGCACCAGCCTGACGCTGGGCCCCCCCACGCCGCCCTCCTCCATGCCCAACCTGGCCTCGGAGGCGGCGCTGGCCGACGTGCTGCCCCTCAAGGACGAGCAGGTGGCCCACCAGTTCCTGACCCCCGACGAGGCGCCCTCCCCGCCCCGGAGGCTGGTGCCCGGCAGCCCGCTGGCCCACAGCCGCACCATGCACACGCTGGGCCTGGCCAGCCAGGACTCTCTGCATGAGGACTCCGTGCGGGGCCTGGTCAAGCTCAGCTCCGTGTGACCCTGCCCGGGGCTGCTCCGAGTGACGGGCAGGGGACATGAACCGGGAGGCGAGCCGCACGGTGACCACTCGCCGAGATGCCACCTGCCGGGTGCAGGTGACAGGTCCTGTGGTCAGTGACCAGCGGGGCAGGGGCAGCACCCGTAGCAAGCTCGTGGGCCTCTCTCCCCACCCTGACCTTGGCTGAGGCTGGAAACGGACAAGAAGCCGTTGGGGGAGTTTTGGATATGAAGGGTGGGCAGAGGGAGGGCGGTGTCTCCGGGGGATGCAGTCCGAGGCTGGCTGGCCGTCTGCTGCTCCTGTGACGGACGTTTCGTGCAGGGTTTATGGCGCAGTAGCCAGAGGGAATTGCACTTAAGTGTTACGTTACTAATACTTGCAATAGACCATTGTAATTCCATTTGTTAATTTTCAAATTAAACAAGAACACCTGAAGGGGGCACAGAGCAGCTGTGGGTTTGCATGGCACGTCGCAGTGTGCACTGCGGAGGCATTGGTCTTCAAAAGGAAATACTGCTTTCTCTTTTTATATATCTATTTTGTGACGATCCAAGTGCTGTTTTATTGGAAAGCGATGCAACACGCAGAGACTGAAGGATAGTGACGTCATCTGTCAACTCAGTCAGCTGCAAAGTTCCCAGGGAGGGTGGCCAGGTGCCCCAGGGCTTGCTGGCCAGAGATCACGTCTATGACTTCTGTTTAGATGAGGTTTTGTGTTGTGCCATCCACACCGCGGAGTCGTGACCTCCCTGTGGGACGAAACGGACATCCAATAAAACAGCCTCCTCCGTGGTCCTGTCTGCTGCAGTGCTTCTTACCAGGGTAAACAGACAGAAAGCAGCCTTGGAGGCCTGCAGGGAGGTTACCCTCAGCTGAGGGTCTCTAGCAAAGAATCAGGCCCCAGCATGGTGCAAGCTGTTCATAACCAGCTGCTGGCCTAAAGGTTGGCAGTTCAAATCCACCTAGCACCACCGTGGTCTCAGCCAAGGACACCAAAGCTGGGGTGCTAAGGGTCTGCTCTCACACACAGGGTCCCCGTGGGCCAGAATCTAGTTGGCGGACACACAGGTTAGCAATGAGCCAGGAGCACTTAGAACTCAGGTCTCTGGATTGTGAGTACTTGCGGGATGGTTTCTAGATAAAGAGACTGGCTTTGGGTCCTTTTTCTTTTTTAATTCATTTTAATGAAAGTTTACAGAAACTTAGGGTTTCCAGTCATTCATTGTTGCACTTTTCTTCCTACCCACCCCCTCACCCCAATTCACTCTTCTCCTTGAAAAGTAAATCTCTTTGTTATGCAGTCCCTCCCCCGCAAGTTCACTCCACTATGCAGCCTTCACTCTGGACTTCTGTAATGACAAGAATACCCATTCATATGCCCCTTTTAAACAGTTCTCTCCCTCATCTGTTTGAATGCAGTATACATCATTCCTTCCCTCCTTTTCACACAATGGAATACTATGCAGCATTGAAAAACAAGGAAATCATGAAATATTATGCAAAATGGATGACCCTGGAGGACATTATGCTGAGTGAAATATCTCAGTCACAAAAGGACAAATATTGCATAGGGCCACTGTTGTAAAACAGGACTGACATCAGGGTTGAGGGAAGACAGACAGAGAAGGGTCATTTTTCTTTAAGCATCATCTTGGGAGCCCGTCTTAGAGGACTCCAGGCATTGTGGCTTGTGCAAACAACATGCCTAGTTGCTAACTGAAGCACAAAGTGTCCAGTCAGAGGAAACTTGATACCCTGCGGGGCACAGTTTTGACTCCAACACATGCAGGGTGCCGTGGGTGGGGGCAGTGGTCCAGCCTCAGCTGATTTGGTTTCATTTCAGAGGAATTGGCTTTATATTTATAAAAGTCACAAGATTGTGGGGGAGGATATGCAGGGAGAAGAGACAGTTCAGCTCCTTTTGCAACTCTGTTCTGTAGTCAGTTGTGACAGGGTCCTGGTGAAACACAGAGAAAGAGGGAGATCCCCAGATCCTGATGGTCATGGAATTAAGAAGGCACCTCCTCAGCCTTCATTTACCACCTGAAAGGGAGCTGGGCATACAGCTGCAGGGGGCTTCTGGTCACATGCTAAGTCCATTCCAGTCCAGGACACACATGGCCCTGACCACCTAGCAAAGGCAGGATCCACTGATCAGGAAGTCCCCAGAGAAGATCTGCCTTTACGGGGAGAAAAGGACTTTGTCCTGAGAAAGAGTTGCCATTTTAAATGAAAGGAGATGAGGGAGGTGTAAGAAAAGCACAGTCTCTAGTTTTAATGTGGAATAAAGCCCTTTCACCCTCCTTTTTTATTATTATTCATTTTAATGAAAATTTACAGAGACTTTGGATTTCTGTTCTAGAGCACTAACTTTACAGGTTAAAAAGTCATTGTTTCTGGAGGGGGTGATCCCTGCAGAATTCTTGTATCAATATTAAGATGGTTCACATCTTCATTTTCCATACTTCATACACACACAGAAAATGGAAGCAGTAAATGTTGAGAGGGACATCGTGCTTGGGAGGGTGGAGGGCAGGCACAGGAGGGGAAGACCCTCTATGAGGTGGATTGATTCAGTGACTGGGATAATTGGGATGGGAGTGTCAGAGACAGTGCAATTGGCACAGGATAGAGCAGGGTTTAGGGCTGTTGTACATAGGGTCGCTATGAGTCGCAAGCAACTCGACGGCACATAACAATAACAACCCACAAGTTCCAACCTGTGCCCAGAGGTCATGTCCCACGAAGGGACGGAGCCTCTGCTCCCCACCTCATCCAGTCTCTCAGGCCCTCAGTCATCCAGCTGCACCTTGACCACACAGCCTGAGTGAGAGCAGAATGAACAGACCCTGCTTATTACTGGGAGCTTGTCATGAATCTTCCCGACAACGTCCCCCCACCCCAGTCCCTCTGTTCCTGCCTCCACTCGCCCCTGGAGGCCCCAGGAAGAGGAGGCCCCACTGAGTAAGATGCTCGTGGGGTGACCTGAGCTCACCTCAGCCCTGACTCTCCCATCATCCCCAGCCTGAAAACACAGGGCTGGGATCCTTGTCCACTGGCCTCTAGTGCAGCTGCCCTCCCTGCACCACCTCAGCGCTGCAGCCACTGTGGGGGTCAGCTTTGTGGAGCGGCTTCCTTCTTCCTTACGCAAGCAGCTTTCTCCAGGGACTGACTAGTGAAACGGCCCAAACACAGAAGGCAAAGGTCTCACCCTCCGTGCCTCCAAGCAGCATCTTGTCTGCACTTTTCCGAGGCGGTGGGTTTGTTCTGGCAGTCCCGGGACCGTCAGTGTTCTTTGCTGATACTATAGTGATGCAGTCTCTGTTCTTTAAGGACTTGCATTTCTAGGAGTTTGTAACTCAGTGGTTGCAGTTCCTACGGCCAGCCCATCCTCCCACTGTGAGAAATCCCAAGAATCAAAGACACTCCCTCCTCTTCTTTACCAAGTATCTGCTTAATATTACTCTTGACCCACTCACTCCCCACCACCACCACCCTTGCCCACACTGGATACCATTTATCAAAGAAAGAACGGGATTTTGGTGAAATGAGAAAGGCTGTTTAGGGTCAAGAGAAAGATTAACTTAAATGGGCCAATTAAGAGAATTAACGGCTTAACCCACTGAAGATTAGGTCCCAAGCCCTGATACTGTGGCAGAGAGAACCACAGACTGTTCTGGAATCTTCTCCTCCCTCCAGTGGCAAGGGGGGGCACTTGCCCCAGGGGGTGCATTTCTCATTAATAACCTAGAGAGGTTTTTAGCGTGTTGAATGGCTCTTTCTGGTGGGGCTGAGCACACCTTGATATTTCCACTTTGGGCCCGTGTGCCAGGGATGCCTGTGTGCCGGCCAGCAAGGGGAAGATAAATATTTTACCATGCTAGTAAAGCTGGTCTGTTATCAAACATACACATATTCTGTTGTTTAAAAATTCATCTGCTCTCAGGCTTCTAGAAAATGCTCAAGGGCTCTCGAAGGCCCTTCTGTCTAAGTGCTGGGCCCTGGAGGCAGCTTCAGACCTGAGATGCAGCCTTGCCTTGGGGGAAGGGCGAGGATTGGGGGGACGTGCTGACAGGTCACTCTGCATGAGGTGCAGTGACTATAGCATTACTCAGTCTCGGTGTTGAACCCCTAATTCAGGCACCCAAGAACAGTTTCTAAATTGCACCCCTAAATTAAAGACACACAGACGTTAACAACAGCAAAAGGTGAGCAGACGTGCCTTCCGCCTCTTCTGAGGCCCCTTCCTGTTTGTGACACTCTGGACTGTCATTCCCTGCCTGGCCTGGCGCCCCCGTGGACTTGCGTCTGGCAACAGATGCCCCTCTGGTGGCCCTCTTGCAACGCCCCCATCATCTCCCTTCCACATCTTTGAAAGCAGGAGGCACCAGGGAGATGCAACTGCTGCTTAGTACCTTACCTGCTCCAGGGCTGCTGGCCACGTGCAGCTGTGCCTCCATGTGTCAGGGCACAGGGTGCAGGGCCCACAGGGTTTCCTCCAGCTTCATGCACAGGGATATCAGCCTGGGGGAGTGATGACCATCTCCCTAAGCAGCCCAGGCCCGTCAGTCCTCCCACAGCACAATATACGCAGCTTTTCAGCCCTTGTCCTCCCCCAGCGCTGGGGGTTTGTGGTGACATTGCTGTGTGGTGGGTGTCCCTCAGAAGATGGCACCATCGAGTGTCCCCTCTCCACGTGGGCCCAAGCAGCCTCTGCCTTTGTCCATGCTGAGCTCCTTGGCTTTATCTTCGGCTTCGACAGCATCAAAGGGGCTTTGTCAGAAGTCAGGTGGCCTTGATGACATTGCTTTGGCACGGCCAGAGGGGTGGCCACCTGGGGACCTTGCCCTGGGGTCTCCCCCTCCTCACCAAGAAGAGTTTCCCTGCAACGTGGCTGCCCCCTACTGGAATTCTGCCTGCAAACCACCCTGCTCGGGCCAGCACTGGACAGCCTGGCTTCTTGTCCAGAGCTGGCTGGAGGACACTGGGGATGGAGTCGC